AGGTACCTGCCATGCCCGCACCCGGGCTCTGCGGGGCGCCAGGAGGGACCTCCCTTCACTTCACAGAGGACCTTTGTCCTGCCTGCAGCTGGAGGGGCCACCTTGGTGTGGGACGTGTCTCACCCGAGGTGGAAGGCTCTGGACTAGGGGTGGAGAAATGTCAGGAGACAGCCCTGCTGTGACTATAGTAGGACTTAGTGGGGTGGCAGCCCCAAGGGTTGCGGGTACCATCACCTAGGAGGAGGGCATCCATGCAAATGCTTTGCTCTGAGCCACAGGCTCCGTGTCTAGTGTCATAGTAGGTCTGTGACCCTCCCAAAAGCGTTGGACAACAGTTGCACTTCCTTCTTTGCTTTTGCTGTATCTGTAAGAATGAAGCCATGCCCTTTTGTAACCTTATCTACTTTTGCTCTTACCTGGTTGTCTTCTCAGTGGCCCCATGTGGGCTTACATCTTGGCCCATGAGAATGCTGTCCCGCTCTGGAGATCCCTGATGGGACCCACCAAAGTATTCCGAGCCCGAAACAGTGTCCCAGACTCCATCCGAGGAGCTTATGGCCTCACCGACACCAGGAATACCACTCATGGTTCAGGTAGACCTGTCCTGCTTGGCTGAGTGTTTGGCAAAGACTGGAGCTCAGGAAGGTGTGAGAGCTGGTATTTTGCTTGCTTTCCATTCTGGAAGTCACAGTTAATGATTTACTTGCTTCTGCAGACTCCACTCCCCCCTGTCCTGGTGTGACTTGAGCTTGGTGCTTTTCTTGTGGCTTCCACCCTTCCCTTTGGAATGTAGCACGTTTGTAGTGTCACACTGCCATCACTCACCTTCTCCTCTGTTCTCCAACAGATTCACCAGCATCTGCCAGCAGAGAAATTGCCTTTTTCTTCCCAGAGTTCGACGAGCAGCTCTGGTACCAGCAGGAAGAGCCACATCTGCGCCGAGGGCAGGTGTATTACAATGCAGAGGAGCGTGTCCACTGTGTGTTCAGGGATGAAGAGGCAGAGTTGACCTGAGTTACCCAGGGGTATGGTTTGCTGGGCAGGGAGTAACTGCTAGACATACTGTGTCAGCCTCATAACAAGACACAGAGCCATGGCATGTTTTAAGGAGCATGGGGGAGAGAAAGACCCAATGCACATCATGTTGTGCTACCTGGAGTTAAGTTCTTCATGCAGCATCCAGGTGCTGGGGCACTTTAGGAAAAACTTCTCAAGTAGCAGCACTCCAGCTGGATGTAGAGATCTAGCCATGGAGTTCACTGGTCCCTCATGTTTATTTGGACTTAAGCGGTACAGGTGAGTCCAAGCAACAGGGTAGGTGAAGGGGAGTTGCTAGTTCCAGTTAGGATACGGTTTGTTTTGCTGAGAGTAGTCCTCAGAGTCTTAATATTTGCTCTGTTCCCAGAGTCCCATAAGGAGAAAAGAGAGGGAAAAGAATACGAAAAAAGGCAGCAATAAGCAGGGTAATACTAACTCTCCTGCCCTTGTTTTCCTGGATCCAAGCTGAGAAACAAGGTTGTCTTCAGTTTGTATTATAATTCTGATCTTGAGCATCTGGTGGAAGGCACAGTTAGAAGCTGTTCTCAAGAGGAAAGCAGCATATCCCATTGGGTTGGTTTGGTCTGTGCTGGCAAGTCTGCAGCACAAGTTCTAGGGGAAGCTGCAGAAAGGTGTGGAGTCCTCCAGTGCCTCTGAAGGATCTTTTGTTTGTGCTTTTTAGATTGCCTGGGGCATGAGATCAGCAGTTCTGATGAGACTTGATAGTGGCTGTTAGAGCTATGGATTTCTTGAATCCATAATAAAAGGCCAGAGAAGCTGATTTGAATGCTGGTACACAGGGGATGTAGAATTTCTGCCAGGAAATTTCTTTACAAGAAGCCTTGTAACAAATTGCCTAATGGCAACTCAGAGGCTTCACTGCCTATACACTTACTGGGTATTGAAGTACTGAGTTCCATGTCCTTTATAAATTGTATGGACAAAGTCATTTAATTATGCAATAATTGATATAGTTATCATATGCTGATGTGCATGTGAGAACTTGGTTTTGAGGTACAAAGCAAGGTTCTGATACGCTTATTTATGTTTCCCTGTTTGATGCATTTTGAGCTCTGTTACTGTACCAGTTTTTTTATCCATTTAAACTGTCCCCAAATAGTCTCTTACAATGCTGATATTTTTAATTAAGGTGCCATGTTGTACTGAGTGAATTTTTTGGGGATAATTTCAAATGCACTGTATTGGTGAAGGTACCTTTGTACTGTGTTTGGGACAAGAAGTTTGTTAGCTTGCCTCCCTCTTCTGAAGTTATGCGTGACTAGCACTGATGATACTGATCCCTGTAGCTCTTGACTGGGTTGTTGATTGAATCCCAAATTCGTTAGTGCATCATTGTGGTACAGATCAAAGGCAAGTTGCTGTGACTAGTTTAAGACGACTGTGTGAAATGTTGGGCATTTGATTGAAAAATGTGTAATTGTAGGAGGTGCTTCTGTAGAGTTTCCTTGACCAAATACATCAATGTGTTTGTTCCTTCTTTACCATTATACAAGATTAAATATAGTCATTGTTTTGTTCCAGGTACAGATCAAAAGGATCTGCGGAATATTTCTGCGTTTTTGCATTGTTGTTTTATTTTCACCAGCAGTATCCAAAGGTGGATCTGCTCATGATCAAGTTTGTGTTTATACAGCTCTGAAATCTTGCTGTCCATAATGCTACTGTTGATTGATATTTTATTGATTCCCTGGGTGTCTGTCAGTTACGTGGGAGTTTTCATGTAATTAGTAACCCTTATGATTTTATTTTCATCTTTCTTCTTTGTATTGTGCTTTCTTTTTTGGCTATTCATTTGGGGTGCCATTAAATGACAATTCCTGGCTTATACTTCTTGTTTTAAATGTGTTAATTTTCCTAGTCATTTCCATTATTACATTTGAGGAAGCTGACCCTTTTAAAATTTCAAGTGCAAACAACACTGGTTTAGTGGTGCAGTTTTCACAAAGTGATTATCAGGTAACAGTCTCCATTCCTTAGGTAGCTGCCAGTTGTTATGTACATACTAACATTTCCTTGGTCCACCAAGACTCCACCTGAGAAGAGGTTGTCAGAACTGTGCAGTCCCATTGCCCTACATGGAGTGTTTGTTTTGTAAATCTAAAGATGTTCTGTGAAGTCTGTCAGGAGATCTAATATGAAGTAGAAGCTCTTCCTTGTGAGGGTGCTGAGGCGCTGGCACAAGGTGCCCAGAGAAGCTGTGGCTGCCCCATCCCTGGCAGTGTTCAAGGCCAGGCTGGGCACAGGGGCTTGGAGCACCCTGCTCTAGTGGAAGGTGTCCCTGCCTGTGGCAGGGGTTGGAATTGGATGAGCTTTAAGGTCCCTTCCAACCCAAACCAGCCTGTGATTCTATGATGATACTGAAATATTTGGTGTTAGATGGAGGAGATAGTGTCAAAAAACATTTTTACTATCAAAGGAAGCCTTTGGATTTCAGCAGATGCTCTGCTTTGAGGCCTCTTAGGAAAGTCTTTCTTTTATTAATTTTTCCCCTCTGTAAGTGCTGAAGAAATGTTTTACATCTTTAGTGTGTTGTAGCACTGTGCCAGCTACTAGAAAGAAAATAACTGTTATAGCTGAAACCAGGACATAATGACACTTCCCATCTGTTCTGTGTACCTCCTTCTGCCTCCCAGTCCTGTTCTGTACCTTTGATTTTGTAACTTCCAATGGCTTTAATTTAAAACAATTTCTTGTACCCTTTCTCACTTTTCTTCCTGCCCCTTCCCTGTCCCTAATCTGCCTTTACAGAACAAGTTGAAACCTCTGGTTGTTCTTAAGAAATCCTGGTAACGCCCAGCATAGGCTATTTCTCCTTTTAATACTCAACAACTTTGTGTGTTTCTTTGCCTAGAGTATGAATGTTTCAAAGATGGGGAGTCTGTATAGAACAAAGACATTCTTTCCACATGACTCATTCCGCTGCTTATGACATGATGATGAAATTGATTACAGCAGATGTGAACAGCTTCAAAGTTACTCCTGCCTCAAACTTTTAATAGGCCACTCTGAGCCTTGTTTACAAGTCTCACAAAAACCTGCAAGGGGAGGAAGTGAAGTGCTCTGGGCTCTTAGTAATTGGCACTGAAGCTCTGGTGGTGTTTTCTCTGTAGAGAGAAGCCTGTGGGGAACAGGTACCAAGCAGACAAACTGGAAACAGGGAAAATTCTCTCTCAAACTTCAGCCTTCTATTTAAAGCATCTTGTTTAAAGTGCACTAATTGGCCTCTGGGGCAGACTGGATGCCCAAGCCTGGGCCAGGCCTGGGCGAGAAGCCTTGGAGAGCTGGCTCCGTGCAGTGGGAGAATGGAGCTGGCCATATGGAGCGGGAGAAGCGGAGCTGGGGCAGCAGGGCCACAGCTGACCAGGAAGTACAAGGTTACAATCATTAGGCAAACGTGGTGCTCAGCGGTGACAGGACTTTCCTTGTTGCTTTCTGAGTACAAGTTGGCCTGAGGCTGGTGCCAAGACCCCCCTTTGCATCTTCTGGGACTCTGTAGGTGTTAGACCTGCCCCCAAACCCCACAAACTACCACAGGGTAAAAAAATCACTTTACATTGCATGATCATGGTTCTTGCGTTTGTGTGTGCTGTTAGCCCATGACAAACACAAGCCCATGACAAACACAAACTTTGGCTAGTTTTGGAGTTTGGATCATGTAGGTGCCACCCTCATTACCTTTTTCTAAAATATGAACACAAATGATCAGTTAGTGAAAGGTTGAGACAACGATTTCCTTCAGTTGGAAAATCTCCTTGTCAAGTGTTAGAGGGGAAAATAGTAAGACAGTAATCCATTACCACTCACACGAGATGCAGTGTGAGGCTTTTGTCCTGTCTTGTGTAGGGCAAACTGGAAATGCCAGATTTTGCTTATTCTTGTTAATGGCTGGACTGGATAACAGGCAACTCCAGATGGGGAAAAAAAAAAAAATCCCAATGGAACTTTTAATCTGAGGAAATCAAGGGGGGAGAGAAAAAGGGGGGAAGAAATATTGTATTTACAAAACCTGATGAGAATTTCATTCCAGAAATCAGACTTGTGCTGGTGGAAAGGAGCCCCTGGTCCTTCTGGTCCAAGCCCTGCTCGGAGTAGGACCCATTAGCATGGGTGGCTCAGGGCTGTGGCCAGGTGAGTGCCGACTATCTCCAAGGTCAGAGATTCCAGTCTTTGGCCTCTCTAGGTTTTGATCTAGTGCCTAAAGGACTTTTCCCTGACATCCAGTGAGAATGGCTCCTGTTACACCTTGTGCCTGTTGCCTCTTCTTGTCACCGTGGCACTGTGAGAAGAGTCTGTGTCCATCATTTCTCCTTGCTCCCATTAGGCAGCTGCAGACCACAGGAAGGTCTCCCTTTTGTCTTCTTTCCAGGCTGAACAAAGCAGCCTCAGCCTCTCCTTGTATGTCCTGTGGTCCAACCCTAAGCCTTCTATGACCTCCACAGGACCTACTCCAGCATGGCAATATCTGGGTGGTACAAGGGAGCTGGAATCTCTGGACACTCAACTGCATTGATGTCACGATGTCATGAAACAGGATGTTTTACTATAAACTCTGTTCAATAAGTCTGAGTGTTACAACTGTGATATTTATAAGAAAATCCTCCAGAATGTTGTCAGTGGAGATTTTAAAAAGGGATGTTTAGGAAAAAAAAACAACAACACACAAGCCCAACCTACAGTTTGTGCTGAACATGTTTGAACTACTGTCTGGATGACATCTACAGAGAACAGTACAGTTTTAGTACCATCAAAACTGCATCAGTGACAGTCAAAATCACTGAGGGAAAAAACAGAGCCCAGGCCCATTGCAGCCAGCAGGGAGGAATGCTGCCATTAACAAACCATTGAGCTCCTGAGCCAGGTATGGCCACAGAAAACAAGGTAAAGGAAGTTGCCCATCCAGGAGAAGTGTGTGCAGAAAATGCAGGATGAAAAGTGCATTCAGTTTGCATCTGTCA